GAGCGGCGGGGGCGCCTCTGCGGGCCCGTGGGCACCGCGTCAGGTTTGCACTTTCCTCGTGCGGGGCCGGGCGCAGGCTCCCCCTCCTCCCCAAACACGTATGCTCACCCTCCCCGGGCTGCAGAGCCCAACCAGGAGCCGCTCTTCAGCCCCACCCCATGTCTTCCTCAGCGTCAGGGTCGGAGGGGTCTGAGTGCCCATTTTAGAGCCGGGCAAACTGAGACCGCGCAACGCCCTGTGTGTACACGGGCTAGAGAGAGGGATTTCCCAGCGCTTTGCCTAAGCTCGGGAGAGCTACAAGCGCTCCCAGACATCAACCTGGCCTGGGCTTTGGCGGTGGAGGAAACCCCGAAACCTCTCCCCTTAAACCTAGGGGCTTCGCAGATGATCTTCGAGGGTCTGACAGCGCCCTCCTCTCCCCCAGAACAGAAGGCAAAATCTTATTCATACACCACCACCCCACCCCGAGAGTATTCGTGGCTTTCATTAGAACCCTGAAGAGGCTAAGCGCACTGCCCTTTAGGCGGAAAACCCTAAATGCTTAAAATCTTCTTCATTGCAAGCTCCCTGGAAGAGCGTGAGCGGATGCTCACCAGCCTCATCCCTCTGCGCCTAGACAGGTGTGGGAAGGGGGCAGATGTCCTCGGTCTGTTCAGGGCTCCATCTCTCTCCTTCATCCTAGATTAGGGGAGGCGGGTGTCCTGAAATAATCCTCTGGAAAAGAGTTCTGAGGAAATTCCCTTTTTGTTGGAAAAAGCCTGGAGGCTTCGCTTCCTGAGAGGAGCCAGTGGGCTCTCTCGCCAGGCCTCGCCTCAGACCACGCCTGTACCCTGGATTTTATTTATTTATGTTAACCTGCCCTGTTCTGTTCTAGAGAGGATGTAAAGGGGATGAGTATTATATTCATGGTGTGACTCATTTTATTTTTTACTATTTACTTTGTACTATTTTAATGAAGTATAGCTTACAGTAAAACATACAAATCTGAAATGAAAGTTTACATATGTTTACACCTGCATGGGGGGGTGGTTCAGTGGTAGAATTCTCGCTGTCCATGGAGGCTTGCATGTTGATAGCATGCTGAACAGGTTTCAGCAGAGCTTTCAGACTTAGACTAGGAAGAAAGGCCTGGAGATATACTTCTGATAACCAACCAGTGAAAACCCTATGAATCACGACGGTCCAATCCACAGCTCATCATGGGGATGGCGCAGGACCTGGCAGCATTTCGTTCTGTTGTGGATGGGGACAGCTAACAACACCTTTCTAACTACCACCCAGATCAAGCTATAGAAGCTTCTAGCGTGCCAAACACTGTGGGGTGCCTCACTGTACCAGGACCACTGTCACTGTGGCTAGGGGAGCTGAACTAGTACTGTGACAGAGCTGGGAAGTACCTCTGGGAAAATGATGAAAGAATTTCAGGTGTTTGGGCTGAAGAAGCAAAGTCACTGGAGTGAGGCTCACGACCACTCTGTGTGTGAAGGACTAACTCGTACAGAGCAGTTAGAGACTCTTTGTCTTTTTGGCCCAGTGGGGAGCAGTTACAGGGAGGAGCACTGCAGTTCAGTGTAAAATTCTGCCTACAACCAGGGCTGACCCACACTGGGAGCGGACCCCAAGGAAGTTGTAAGGGTCCCAATCAGTAGAGGTGTCAGTCAAGAAAAAAATGAGGGGGAAGATGTGGAACAGAATTTCAAATTCTTAGAGAATCCAGACTTACTGGATCTACTGAGACTGGAGGGACCCCTGAATCTATCTCCCTGAGAAAATCTTCAAACCATAAACCAAAATTATCCCTAGAAGTCATCTTTAAACTAAACAGCTGTTTAGCTAAATTAGTAAAGAATGCTCGCTGTGAGCATTGTGATTTTTTAAAGAACTACCTATATGAGATCAAATTGTCAACAATAACTCTAATGCATAGATGAAAAGTATAGGGGGTGTTATTGTTATTATTGTCGAGTCAGTTCTGACTCATAGCGACCCTATGTGCAACATAACAAAACGTTGCCCGGTCTTGTGCCATCCTCACAATTGTTGATATGTTTGAGCCTGTTGTTGCAGCTACTGTGTCAGTCCATCTTGTTGAGGGTCTTCCTCTTTCTTGCCTATCCTCTACTTTACCAAGCATGATGTCCTTCTCCAGGGACTAGTCTCCTGATAACATGTCCAAGTATAACGTGTCTTGCCATCCTCATTTCTAAGGAGCATTCTGGCTGTACATCTTCCAAGACGGATTTGTTCGTTGTTCTGGCAGTCTATGGCATATCCAGGATTCTTTGCCGACACCATAATTCAAAGGCATCAATTCTTAAGTCTCCCTTATTCGTTGTCCAGCTTTTGCATACATGTGAGGTGATTGAGAATATCATGGCTTGGGTCAGGCACACCTTAGTCCTCACGGTGACATCTTTGCTTTTTAGCACCTTAAATAGGTCTTTTGCAGCAGATTTGCCCAATGCAATGCGTCTTTTGATTTCTTGATTGCTGCTTCCACAATCACGTCCAGTTGATTGTGGATCCAAGTAAAATGAAATCCTTGACAACTGCAATTTTTTCTCCATTTATCAGGATGTTGCTTATCAGTCCAGTTGTGAGAATTTTTTTCTCTCTTTATGTTGAGGTGTAATCCATACTGAAGGCTGTAGTCTTTGATCTTCATCAGTAAGTGCTTCAAGCCCTCTTCACTTTCAGCAAGCAATGTTGTGTCATCTGCATATCACGGGTTGTTAATGAGTCTTCCTCCAATCCTGATGCCCCATTCTTCTTCATATAGTCCAGTTTCTCAGATTATTTGCTCAGCATACAGATTGAATAAGTATGGCGAAAGGATACAACCCTGATGCACACCTTTCCTAATTTTAAACCACTCAGTATACCCTTGTTCTGTTCAGACGACTGCCTCTTGGTCTATGTACAGGTTCGGCATGAGCACAGTTCTGGAATTCCCATTCTTCACAGTGTTATCCATGATTTGCTTTGATCCACACAGTGGAATGCCTTTGCATAGTCAATTTAGGGGGTAGTAAGTCTAAGTCAGTGGTTGTGGAACAATATGGGTAGAGATAGTAAGAATGGTATGTGAAGAAAAAATGTGAGTATTGTTATTGAATTATACATGTAGAAATTGGTGAATGGGCTATGTTCTGCTGTGTATATTCTTACCAAAAAAAAGAGAACAGGACAAGCTTTTCTCAGCGGTGATGGGAGGGGAGAGGGGTCTCAATCGGAGGTTGTTCCTTCCAACTCCGGGATCTGTGATTCTGGAATTCTGTGGGAGTGGCACAGAGGACTCAATCAAATGCTTCTGGTTATCACTTGTGTTTTTTCCAGAGGGTAACTTTCTACATAATTATAATCACAAGTACTGGACAGGCCCACTGTCATCACCTATGGACAGACTGAGCCAGAGCAGCCCTGGGGCCCCCTCCCTGATACAGTATAGGGGGAATGGAGCAGATCCCGGTGCCACTGTGAAGGGGACCAGCACCTGGAAAGAAGTTGGTTGTCCCACCTTGTGCTGAGTTGTCCTGGAGGCACCCACCCACCTTTCTCCTCAGCCCTTTCAGCTCTGGTCCCCGCGACGGGCAGGTAGGCATGATGTCATGGCTCCCGTCACTGCTGGAACCCCTGGGCAGAGGTGACACTGTGGGGCCTTACTGCTCAAAGTGTGACCGCAGCCCAGCAGCGCGCATACCACCTGAAGCTTATTAAGAATGCAGGCTTCTGGGACCTACAGAGTCAGACTCTGCATTTTAATAAGATCCCCAGGTGACTAATAAGTATCTGAAGTCTGAGAAGCAGTGGTAAAGGGGACCGTCACCCTGGAACTGCAGATAATTTCCTGGACTTTAACAAGGTGACAGTCAAAAGCCTATTTATTAGGTGCTGGGCACTGCCAAGACAAGCAGGTGAGAAACGAGTACAGCGTCAGCACCTTCTGGAACGGGGCACTTTGAGAGCCTGGAGGGCACAGTATTTAATCTGCCTGAGAAGGCTTCATGGAAGAGGTGACTGCTGAGCTGGGTCTGGGAGTATGACTATGTGGAGAGGTTTTGCTTGTTCTCTCTCTTTCCTCATCTCTTTCTCTATCTCCACTGTTTTCCAGCATAACACATTGTCCAGCTCCTCCAGGAACCTTTCTCAGATAAATTCTATCAAACCCTCAAATTTCAACAAGCCTCCGTTCCGTTCCACTCCTCAGCCGCCACACAGGCTTCCCAGAGCCAGCTATTACAGTCCACGGACTCTTATCTCCCTCTCGCCGCCCCTCCACTACTACCCCCGCCCCGCCCCTCGGCCAGTTAAGCCAAGAATTCTAAAGAGCTGGGACTGTACTTACCTCTATTTCTAACTCTCCCCACTCCCAGCCCACAAGCCTCACAGAATGATTTGCAAACAACAACTTCTGGATAAATAGCTGGTGAGCTGAATTCTTTGTATAGCACCTTTACAGTAATTTGTAACTTTACATTTGCAAACCTTATCTCCCAATTGTAAAAAGTTCCCCAAGGGCAGAGGCGATGTGTCTTTCCTTTGTGCTGTGTATTGAAGTATTAATATCCATTCCTGGCTGGGCACTCTGTGGTTATTCTAAAATCTGAGAGACCAGTAAACCCTTGGATGGTTCCTTAACCACTCTGAAACTTGATTTCCCTCCTTGTAAAAATTGGAAGGGAATTATCTACATCCCTCACAAGCTCTGGAAAGCAGTTTGAGACCCCAGGATATGGAAATACTATGAATAAATGGAAGACCTTCAATCAAAGGTCTGTTAACCTCTTGGCGACTGAAACCTATTCA